TGATTCAATTTGAAAAAATCAAATCAAATTCAAATTGTTTAAATATTTGATTTGATTCGATTTTGAGGAATTTTACTAACTATGTTTAATATCAACAACTTGTTTAGTATCAAAAATTGTGTTTAGTATCAATAATTTACTTAGTATTAACAACTGTATTTACTATTAACTTTAACTTAAAAGTATCATTTTAATTACAAGCATTTTAGTTATGCATCATCATCTTAATTACAAATTATTTATTATAATATTATTAAACTATTTTTCTAATACTAAGAAAAATTACAAGTCATATATCTAGTGAATTAGAAGTTTATATACTTACTAATTCAGAAACTTAATTATGAAAGAATTTTAATTTTAGACAAAGTTTATCTTAATTAAAATCTTTCATAAACTATTATAAATATTAAGCTAAATTTTATTGCTACTTAATAAATTATATATTTTAGTCTACTTAATCAATAGTTAGATAATAATATATTTATAATATATAATATTTATTATATTTCTCTTGCTTTTAATTTATATATTATTATTACTTTTTTATTTTTGTAAAAAGCCAGTAATTCAATTATAAATAGTAGAAACTTTTAGAAAGAAAAATTCTTTGAAAAGTATTAGTATTTTAAAATAGTAACAATGAAAATCTTAATATTCAAACATATAATTATTGATCAGAAAATAAAATCCAAGATGCTTGAATTATTTTGATAAAATATTTACAATAATAGAATAGAAATTAAAGTAAAATAAATTATATCAAATAATAAAACTCATTATCATAATTCACAATTAATAATGCTTATAACACACTAGTATAATTAGTATAATATTAATGTAAAAAGCTGAATACTTATTTTTCTTATTTTTTTACGTAAAATTATAGCATTGTAAAAATAAGAAATTATACCAATTTTAATGAATATATAGGGCCTTTACAATAGAAAAAGAGGAAACTGCCAGTAAAAATTAATTTTACTTTTATATATCAAATATGATTTTAAGGCTGAAATATGTTTAAATTTAGCATCAACTCATTTTATATTTTTCTGGCACTTCTATTGCATAAATAACATCTGATTATCAAAAAAATAAAGAAACAACCAGAAATATCCAATTATATGAGTGGCAATTATCAAAAATTAATAAATATAAAGGACGAGTAAGAGCACAAATATTACCAATTATAATAAATGGATTTATTATTCTTTGGCATAATTTTCTAAGTCTATACCAGAAACATCAACTCAGGGATGATGATTTTATTTAATTAAATAATTTCACATTAAACACATATTTTATGTAATATTATATAATTTAAAGTTTATTATATTATAAAAGCATATAATTCAGATCTTTCTATATTAAAACACATAATTTGCAATAAAATATATTTAATTTAGCTGTAAATTATCAATTATCACTATCTCTTTTTTATAATGATAAGCCATTGCGATAGTCAAAAACACAAATTAAATATAAAAAAAAATATGACAAACTTAAAATAAAACACAGCAACTTACCCTTTCTTCCACTCAAGAAGCTGCTAATTCAAAAAAAGCATCTAATTGAAGACCTTATAAATGCTTTTGCAGCTGCAGACATTTCTCTTGAAAACGTCAATTCTTTACTTTCATTTTTTAAAAATATATTAAAAATGGAGGTTCTATTCTTTAAGCTTCAACTCTTAGACAAATTTACTTACCAAATGTTTTGATAAGTATTATCAATATCTTATGCTTCTTTTTAATTCAAAACCAGTAGCTATAATTATGGATAAAACAACTAATGATTATGTGCGAAGCGTTATCAATACACTTTTTTGTTATAATAATCAAACTAAATTAGTTTCAGTAGATTTTGTTAAGCGTATTAATAATATTATGATAAGACAAGTTCTTACAATAACTCTTACTCATTTTAATATATCTTTTAACTTACCCTACTTATTTCTTTTAGATTCTGCTATGTATATGAAAAAATGCTATTGCAATATTTTATTGCTATTGATACTTCAGTTTTTTTTTTAATACGTTAGCAGGTAATTGGATTCACAGTATTTATTACAACCTAAGCTGTATGCTACAAAGTAAATACCTAAGGTCTTAACATAATTTTTCATATGAGACAACCATTAACTAGCATCAATTCTAAAGGTTGCCATCTAGGAATAGACTTTACACAACCCTTTTGAGAGGTATACATAGGTACCTAGACCTCTAAATACTATCAAATTTAGATAGAGGAATCACTTTAGCCCATAGAGTCATTACTTCTATGCTTTACCAAAGTCAAATAATCTACATTTTGCCTTACGTCTATATAGTGTATTATTGAACTAATAATCAGAAGTAACCTTACATAACAAGGTGACTTGATACCCATTTCATCAAATAATCTAGAAATTGAGCCTGGCCTCTAATCCTAGTAATAGTTCAATTAGATGATGCTGCAACGTGCAATGCAGTCTATTATCACTATTATTCTAATCTACTAATTTCTGGTCAATTATTTCCTTAATTTAAATATAATCTTATGATCATATATGGAAATAAAGACCCCTACTAGATGAGACATAAGACTGTATCCATTACAGACCAATCAGTGAAGACTAAGTTTTTGTTAATTCAAGGCTTTATTTGCATTTACATGTTCTAATATCATGCAATATTTAGGCATAATCAACATTGATCGATAGATTATTCAACTAGATTTGTATGTATGTTAGTATATACACTTATTATTTCAGCCACATATGAAATTCTTATAAAATCATCTAGTTTTATATATCAGCCGATACCTGAACTGATGGCCTATCACTATATAATAAAACTTTTAGCTTATAGGAGAATTATGGTTTAACCATTAAGTCAAAGATACTATTCCTCATTAAAGATGGCACTGTAATTAAGAAGTTGCAACTCCAACTTGGGTTGCAACTGGTTGCAACTTCTTGCAAAATTTATTTTAATATAAAAATTTATAAATAGTTGCAACTCAATGAGTTGCAACTTAAGTTGCAACTAGCTAAAAATTTTAAAATTAATTACAGCTCCATCTTTATTCCTCATTGATATCTCAATTAATTCATATGTCATATTGCATACATATTTTAAATCTTATTGGGTATGTTTTTTTTTTAATTTTTAAATTTGTTTTTAATTAATTATTAATATTTATAAGATATAATAAAAAAAATAATAAATTTTTTAGTAAATAGGAATGTAATAAAATAGCGAAAAAAAGTAATTTTATAATTAATTTTATTAAAATTAATATGTTTATCTAGTTTATAATATAGAAAAAATAAATGTAGAATAGTGAGATTATAAGGATAACAGATAATACAATAATTAGAAAATAATGATGTAATTTGTAAAAAAAAAAAAAAAAAGTTCATTAGTATAAGTTAAATAAAGTTTTCCCCTTAATTTTTAATATATAATCCATATTATTGCTTAATTAAAAAACTTTTTTTAAAAAAATAATAGGAATACATTGAGAACATTACCTTAATTTTATATTTTAAAAGACTTTTTAGATAAAATCAAAGAAGTTTTTGTTAATTTTTCTACCTGAAAAGGTTAATACTTAACTCATTTAAAAATGCATGGAATTTTTTCACCATGTTAAATTCTATTATATAACAAAACATAATGGAATTCTTAGTTCTGAATGATATCCTATACAAAAGAATATATCAATTACTAACTATCTTTTTTAAAGAAGAATTTGATAATGATAGGAAGTATCATACTCTAGAAGCTATTAATTCTTGTTTACAAAATATACAAAAATTAGGGCTTATTACAATCTATGTTAATTTTATTTCTTCTTATGCTAAAGAATTTATTCAAGACCTCAATTTTTTTCAGCAATTAAAAAAACACAATTTTCCTTTTGCTGAATTATGACTTCAACAACTTACTGCATACATTGAAACATATAGAAAATCAAATGAATTTGGTTCAATTTTGAAAAATTTAATTATTTAACTTCAATTTAATATAAATGAACTCTATGTAATTTTTCAAATGGCATCTGAAGTAGCATATGAAAAATTTGCTACACATATTTCTAATTATCCAACTTGACAGCTTTTTTATGCATGTTAAGTTTTTAATCCTAAATTTGTTCATAATGGAGATACTCTGCGAAAAAATATTTAACAATATTATGTAAACAAAAAATTTGATAATCTATCTAATGAATTATTACAGGAATGGAAAATTTATTGTGATTTAGATAATGAATTTTTTGGTGATATAGAATTGGATCAATATTAGGTAGAGAAGGCAATGCAGTTACCAATCCTTTCTAATATTGCTTTAGATTATATTTGGCTACCAATATCAAGTTATACTATTGAACGAAATTTTTCAATATACAATTCTCTTTTAGATAGTGATCGCCAAAATCTCTCTTCGGATTCTCTTAAAAAATTAAGTATGATATATTTTAATGGAATTATGACTTAAAATTTTATAATAATAAATAATTTAGAAATTGCTTCTATAAATAATATCACATAATATAAATTTTAAATAATTACATAAATATTACTAAATAATATCATATAATATGAATTTTTTTAAAAAAATTATGTCATATAATTTTGTTTTAGCACATACATAATTCATGTTTAATCACAGCATAATTTCATCATCCCTGCATCAACTCTTACTACATTATCATTATAGATAATGCCTAAACCATAACATTACAAAATTTCTAATCACATGATAACGTGATTAAATTTCAGCTAATAAAATTAATTATCCAATAATATTGCTAAATTTCAAATCACGTGATAATATACAATAATTTGTGATACACATTATAAATCGCGTCTTTCTAGCTCGCGTCTCAATATCGCAAGCATACTTTTTTATTAATAAAGTTGTATACAAACATCTAATAATACCTTTGTCTGATATTATTCAAGAAACATACATCGGTTATGACGAACTCGTATTATACCTAGGAGCAGTGTTATCATGAGACATTGGAACTTAATGTGGGACATAGTGTGGGACAGTCTCAAAATGTTTGGGACATCGAAAATGTACATCACTACCTAGGAGGACGTAAAAAAAAAATCATTCTATGGCTTCCTATCTGTGTTGGACATTTACCTAGTTGGACATATAAACTTGTATATATCCAATTGGACATCATATATGTCCAATCCAACACTGATTCCTATTCTGCTACCGAGATATTGTAACTTCAACAATGGGATCTTTGTAATACCTTTTCAAGACCTCGATCAAGCCATTTTGTAAACGTGGCAGGAAGATATAGACCCAGAAAATCATAGTGGATTGGTTGAAAAGATGCGTTTTTTTTTATTTTGCAAAGTAAGGGTAACTCCTAGAAGAGCTGCAGATTTGCTTATGGGAATTACTGGATATTCTACTTGGTAACCACTCTCAAAGTACATTATTTAGGTGCTCTACCTTTGTTGTTTGTAAAGATCTACTAGTTTTAGAGGAATGATTAGTTATGTACCTTCCTTTACCACTAAATAAAGTTCGCACACTGCTAACAATCTTTTCCATAACAGATCAAATCAGAGCAATCACAGTTTGCTAAAAATTTGGAAAGTTACTGGAAAGGAGTAATTCAAGAATGTGAGATAGTAAGTAAGATTTCATGTCTTAGTTATAATTCGATCATGTAATTTTGGCAGGTGGTCCTGGCTTAAATTTTAGTCATATGATTAATACTGTATCATTTATAGAGATGAAATATAATGAATCGTCAAGCTGAGAAGAAGCGGTACCTTCAAATTATTTCTGAGCTTGATAAAGAAATATGATTAGAGTGGGTTGGTCTTGCCGAGTTCACCAGAAAGTGGCATAAAAAAGATAATGAATCTGACATTAGCTCGAACTCTGATGAAGTAAATTTTGAGAAAGTTTTCGAAGGAGAATTTTTTGATGGATTTCATGATAGAGAGGATGATAATGGTAATTCTTCAGACTCTAAAAGTTTGGACTCCCACAGTTCTCGACAAAGAAGAGTTAGCAATAAAGATGAGGGATGAAACTCAAAAAAGGCAATTAATAAACAGCCGAAACTATATTAAAACATAGTGAGGGGTATGACGAAACCCCGAAACCCGAAATTAGCCGAAACTATATTAAAAACATAGTAAGGGATATGACGAAATTATTTTGAGGGAGTTTCGGCTGGCATCTTTAGTTAGCAATGAATGCTTCATCTCCACCTCCACCTCCACCTCCAACTGGGATTATAATTTTCGTGTTCAAAAATGTGTTAATTATAATGTTGGATCTTCCTTCCGGCCGAGAAGGCGTTGTAGAGCTAACCCTATAAATATAACCCACATTCTTGTATTTATTTAAGTAAATCAGAATTTAACTTACTTATACTTATAGACAAAGACTTCCACCACATCTTCCACCTACTGAGGATACTACTCAAGGAAATATTTATGTAACTGAAACTCGAAGCCCAATAATTATGGAATAACTTTTCATGGAACATCGAACGAGTTTGCTGCCAGTATGAACAGGGTTGGGAAGTACAGTGTTATTACAATGATTAGTACAGTTAGTAATAATTAATATAAAAATTAGTACAAGTACAATACAAAGTACAGTGGTAATTTTATCTAGTACATACAAAATTCACAACCTTGAGTATGAATATATCAATATTGCCATCTCCACCAATACCAGATTTTTTCAATGAAGAGAAAGAACTGCCTAGGAAGAGGATTTGCTTAAACTGTTCCATTCAATGTTTTGAACAAAGTGTTTAGAACCTCACCCTTAATTTATTATGCATTTTTTTTTTATCATTGCATTAATCTTATAAATCAATAAAGATGATTTCAGAATTAACAAACGCATCTCCAATCCCATATGCAAAATAATGATTGCCAAAAAATACACATTCAAATATAATTTTATTAATATAATAATAGTATGACAGAGTAGGAATATAGTTGCTTGACGAAACTTTAGGGTATTGACAATTTTCAAAAGCAAAACCTATTTAAACATTTTGACATTTATTTTTAAATGTCGAAACTGTTGAAAGGTTTAGACAATATCAAAAGGTGTAAATAATGTTGAAAGGTTTAAACATTATTGAAAGTATAATTGCCTAACAAAACCTTAAGATTTTAACAATTTCAAAAATTGAAACATGTTTAAACTTTTTTTTTTAAAAAAAATGAAAATTATCAAAAGATTTAAACAATTTCAAAAGGTTTAAATAATAATTAGTATTAGTTCTAACATAAAATTAATAATTTTTATTATAATTTAAATATTAAAAAAATATTTATTAAGTAATAATATTTGTTTTTTATTTGATAAATGAATAATAATAAACAAATGATTAAACTAATAATTTGTTATAAATAATTTCAAAAAAAATCTAAAACTAATCATCATCATTATATATTAAATCATTTGTATTCCAATCAAAAATACCAACATCTTTATTCATATTATCTAAATTCTTTTTCTTTAGAATTTTTTTTTAATGAAGAATCAGAAGAGGAATCATCATCAAGATTATAACCTAAATTTTCATTAAAATTTTTTTTATCCAATTGTAAGAATGATTCTAAAAATAAATTCAAAGCAGTAGTTGCTGATCTTGTATTTAAAGAAGGATGATTTATGAATTGTAACAATTTTTCTTAATTAATATTTTCTTCTTCTAATATTTGTTCATTTGCTTCATATAAAATTTGTAAAACTTGACTTTCAGTCATATTTGCTGAAAAATAAGAAAGTTCTTTTTTAGCATTACTATTAATAAAACAACAAATTTTTGCAATTGATTCCAAATTTTTAATAGTTAGTTAAAGACGTTTGTTATTTGTTAACCAACTAAGTAAAGAAAATTTCTTTCACAAGAAACACTATTTGGAATAATAGCCAAAACTTTTAAAGCTAATTCTTGAAGATAATCTGGTTTAGGTTCAATTGTTTCCCACTAACTAAGTAGAATATCATATCCAGATTTATATGAATAATCATATGAATATTGAAAGGTTTTATATAAACGAAGTTGTGAAATTAAAATAAAACCACTTGCAAGATTATTATCCATTTTTTGTTATATATCACTAGCAATTTTAATAATGTGTTTAAATTGATCATTTTGTAATCCCAAACCTAATATAATAAAAATAAATAAAAAACTTTAACAAATAATAATAATTAATAAATAATACTTACCTCTAAGATTTGGCATTAAAAAATAACAAAGTAAATACAAATCATCATCAAATTCATCAAATTGAGTATTTAAAGTATAATATGAATGAAATTGAAAATATTGATGAGGTGATAATTTTTTAATTGCTATTGCAATTTTAGCTAAATTCATAAAACAATCTCCAAGTATTGTATTAGGTTTTTCTAATGTTAATACTGCTTTTTTAATGAAAAAGAATAAAATAAAGAACTTTTAAATAAATAAAAATTCATAATAACTAATAATATGAATAACACATTCATTAGTTACTAAATCTTGATGATTTTGAATCATCTAATAAATAAAATTAGTAAATTAGTTAATTATTAATTAATTTTAATTAAATAATAAAAAAATTCAAATATAATACTTTCTTCATTTAAAATTAACTTTAAACGTAATATACTTTCAACACATTCACAAATAGTTATCCATCAAGTTTTAAAATATGATTTGAAACCACCACCTAAAATGTTTTTTTTCTGAATTAAACTTTTTACTTTTGCACCTAAAAAAAATATAAAAAATAACTTAATACTAATCAGCTTGATGAGAAGTTTTAAAAAAAGTACATAATATATTACAATGATGAATTAAACGATCAGCAAACTCAAATTTCATTACATCTTTTATTACTAAATTAATTGCATGAGCAATATATTGAATACTAAAATATGTGGATATAATAAACTAATTTTATTATGTGTAAGTTTAATATTAGCACTATAATTACTAATAATTGCTAAAGATTGATTAGATCTAACTGCTTCTAAAACACTTGATATTTGATCTGCAATAAATTCTCCTGTATGTGATTTATCAGAAAAATTACATAATTAATATAAATATTCTTTTCGTTCAGGTATTATAATAATAAAATTCCAATAAGAATGATTTTTTCTACTACTTCAACCATCTAAATCTAAAATATTAAATAATTATTATTAAAAATTAATTATAAAATTAAATATATTCAATATTTAAATCTAAAATTACATACCAAGTGTTAAATTTTTTTGTTGATTAAGAATATGATTAACTTTATTATTTACTTTTGCCAATTGTTATTCAAATATATGATCAAAAAGAAGTTCACAAGTTGGTGGTTTATATGAAGGATTCATTTCTTTTAAAGCTTTAATGAAAAAAGAATTTCGATTACACATCAAGGAATTCTACAAATTGTAAATGCTTTAGCTCATACTTGATTAATTTTTTCACTTTTTCCTGTTTTTAAAGAACTGCTTGCAAAGTCATCTAATAATTTTTGACCTGAAGAATTTGAGGGCTTTTTTTTATTATTTTTATTATTGAATCCATTCTTATCAATATTACATAAAAGTACTTTAGTGAGTATTCACGAATAACTTAATTTGATGCTGTAGAACAATAATTAACCAAATAATTTTCTAATTTACAAGGTTCTTTTCACTACCAATTTTTATCACAATAATTATACTTTGCTTTATATTTGCCTTTTACTTTTTCATCACCATGTGTAAAATGATTTTATATTGATCCTAATGGTTTTCTTCCAATGTTTTTGTAAGACATAAAATTTTATTTTTATAAAAAAATTATTCAAAATTAAACAACAAAGAACAATAAAAAATAGATAATCAGTGTTTAATGATTATCAAATAAATTTATATGAAATGATATTGTATTGATCATTTTTTTTATTTATTACTATAAATATATGCAAACAATTGATCAATCTTTTATTTACTATATAAAAAAAAATACAATTATAATAAAAATACATTATAATAAATAAAAATTTATTTTCCAATTTCGAAACCTTTCCAGAATCCTAGATTGAATAATCAGAGATAAGTATAATGTTTTTTGTTATTTAAAAAAAAAAAATAATAATACTTTACTTACTACTTTTTGTAGATGCTGAAAGTTCACTTCAGAATTCTGAAATAAATCAAAAGTTAGTAAAAAAATTAATATTTGTACTTACTTCTCTTTATAGGTTCCAGATTCTAGAATCTTGGATTAAATGAATCGAAGGTAAGTAATGTTATTTGTTATTTAAAAAAAAATTTAATATTTTTGCTTACTTCTTTTTGTAGTGCCAAAAGTCCACTCTAGAATTCTGGAATAAATCAAAGATTAGTATTTTAAACTTTTTTTAAATAATTAAATTAAACCTAATTCTTACACTTACCTCTTTTTGTAGGTTGCTGAAGCCCTTCGGATCCTGAAATTCTGGATTAAATGAATCAGAGATAAGTAAGTATTGTTTTTAAAAATATTAAAAAAAACTAATAATTAATCTTACCTCATTTTGTAGATATCCGAAAAGTTTATTTCGGTACTCTAAAATAATTGAAGATTAGTATTTTAATTATTTTTTTTTAAATAATTAAATTAAAATTTTTTTTAATATCTCTTTATAGATTGCCAAAGCCCTTCAGAATTCTAGAATAAAACGAAGGTTAGTATTTTAATTTTTTTTTTTAAATAATTAAATTAAAAAATTAATTCTTATACTTACCTTTTTTGTAGGTTGCCAAAGTCTTCCAAATCCTGAAATTCTAGATTAAATGAATTAGAGATAAGTAAGTATTGTTTTTAAAAATATTAAAAAAACTAATTCTCTATTTGTAAATATCCAAAAAGCCCATTGAAGGTTAGTATTTTATTTTATTTTTTTTTTAAAATAATTAAATTAAAAAAAAAATACTTTTTTGTAAGTTGTCAAAGCTTTCAGAATCCTGAAATCCTAGTTGAATGAGAATTAAAAGTAAGTAATATTTTTTCTTTTTAAAAATATTATAAAAAATTAACCTTTTACTTACCTTTCTCTTTGTAATTGCTGAAGCTTTTCAGATTCTTGGGATGGTATAGATGGTTTGCAACCTGGATGGGTTTTTAAGTAATTTTTTATCTATACAAAAGTTAAATAAATAAAGGTTTTATTTTGTTTTTTCTACAAAAAACAACAAATTTCCAAAAAAAAAAAAATTTTTATTTGAATTGATGAATTCAGATGACCGATTATGATTAGTCTGAAGTTTTGACAAAGTTTAGATGTTTTGATGCCTATTTATATTTGCTGAAACCTGTCAAAACATTTAGACTTTTGACAGTTTTAGTTTTGACTTTTGACATTAGCCTATTATATTTTCATTCTGCAACTATAAGTAGGAATTGGATGGTTTTCTAATGAACTGGTTTAACT